CTGGCTGCATCTGCTACAATCACTGCCCTGTCCCCTTGAACAAGCAAAGACTTTGTACTGAAATCCATACCTCCAGAAACAAAAACTTCTCTCAGCTCAGGAGGTACATCCTTAGTGTATGGCCATCACATCATCCTACTCCCTTCCCAGCAGCTGTGTCACAGATACCAGGAATCTTGCTATGTCAGGACCTGTCATCACACAGGATGATACATTTCCCCACTGCTCTAATGATTCTGAGTTGGGCTTTCGGTTACTTGTAACCAAAAGCATTCTCGCCCACACACACTGTGCACCTGTGGGCCACTCTGAAAGGCTTCCCTGCTCTGAGTCACTGCATTCACACCACTAAGGAAATGAACACTTGCCAAGGTGATTTTAAACACCAAATCCAGTCTATGTGAGCCACTGCCTGAAGAGCTGAGAGAGGATTCTCCACACACTGGCTGTAGGGAAACAAAGAGCTGGAGGCTGACCACTAGGTCAGGCACCTGAGTGCAGAGACAACACTGATACAACAGTGTCCTCTCTAGTCTGAGACGTGGCAAATAATGGAAAGTCATTCAAATAGTCATGGGTCATTGGGAACTGCAAAGAGGAACAAGTTATAATCCTAACTCCAGAGGTTCAGAGACTAGTAGGAAAGACTAATGAAAAGATTAAAATAAAGGCAACGGCAAAAGCAGATGCAAGCTATACATGTACCCCAGAAGCAGGAATCATTAACTTGATTAGTATCATGTGCCTGTGTGTGTGTGTCTGTATGTGCAAATATATGTGCAAACAAAACACGTCTAAGGCACATGTGAATATATGGATTATTTTCAGAGTGCTCAGTTTGGAATGCTCTAGCTGTAAATGCTGTCTACTACAGAACACTGAAATAGCAATCTCACCTTACAGATGAGGCAGGGGAAATGAAAAAAACAAAACAAATAAGAAGAACTTTCTCAAAAGCAGACACAGAGGCCTAGAACTCAACCCATGAAACCACTGTAGGCTCCAAACTCCTGGCCAAGGCTTAGGGATTTCTGGCACAAAAAGTATAACTGCCATAAAAGACACCAGGCAGGAAGTGCTAACTTGAATTTTTGGCTTGAAACATTTTAAACAAGTCTTACATTTTATATCTTATTTTAAAAAACTCTTTGCTTCCTCATAAATTGTTTTTATAAATTATACAATCTATGATGATTACGTGCAGCAGTAAGATGCAATCCATTAAATGTACTACTTTTGTTTTTCAATTGTATTATTATTACCCATAAGCAGTCCAGGAGCACCTGATTTTTGTTAGTGAAACTCATGTCTGGGATATGGCAGCATGAGTACAGTCTACTCCAGGGCTGCAATGTGTGGTAGAAGTATGGCTACGTCAGTATCATAGATACATCTCAGGACACGAAGGCTATCTCACAATTAAGGCTTTTCATATGTTTAAAGCACTATACACCTGAGTTTCTCAGAAACCCACTGGCACATGGCAGGGGCATGATTTCTGCAAATGAAAATGGCCATCTCAGATGATGAGAAGACTACTGAGTTAACTTGGCCTTCTGAGAGTCTTCTACTTGGACCAACCGGTCACAACGTGCACTTAAGAACATTCACTTGCAAGGACTCTCATGAAGATTGAGGGGTGAGGCACTTACCACTGCCCCCGCTTTAAAGGGGAAACTGAGGCTCAGGATCCAAGTGACTCCAAGGTTAGTTGGCTGTTACATGCAAAGCAGGGATCTATGCTTTTAATCTAGGCGTCTTACATTGCATCACGTAGCTCAAGTATTAATATTCAACATATCCTGCCTTTTGGCAACTTTAGAACAGTATGTCAAACTGTTAAAGACTCAGTGTTACCTTTTTAACACAACTGAATCAGCATTTTGAGAATGTGGGATTGTACTGATCATCTGAAATTTAATCTGTGTAGTTCTAAAATAAAGAATATCTAGTTAAAATCCCTAGGGACAAGTAACTCCTTCTCTAGACCTAAAGGAGAAAAACAGTATCAGAGAGCAGCCCAGCACAAAAACAAACTAGGCCCTTCCTGTCTCTTTTCTGCAAAAGCTTTGGAACTTTTAAGTGAGGCCTCCTCTGGTAGAAAACTTCAGAGGAAAGGAAAACCTGTGAAAAGACATTCTTCAAGGCTTTTCTGAATAGCTTCAAGAATGAGAATGTACCCATTCAAAATTTTAAATGTGTTTAACATTCCACTCCCAATGTCTCTCAAAATCTACACCAAATCCATGATCTTTTGGGCAGGGAAAGACTGAGGTCATTCATCAGTGAAGAGCCCCAGGACAACGAGACATTTCCTTCACTTTCCTCGAGGATGTTGTCCACCTTAGTTGCAGAAGCAAAATTTGAGGCTCAGAAACAAAATCAAGCTAGTAATCTCCATCCCCTCCCCCAAAAAGCCCAAGAATCCACACAGATAAGGCAGGCCCACAGCATGAGCTCACAGTAAATATATGTGGAAGAGAGAAAAAGGGGAAAAGTGGGTGAGTGAGGGGACCCCGTGGGATGAACTGCATTGTGGCACACACCCATGCAGTGCTCCCCTCCACTCCAGACAATGTCCCTTGTTGTCGCTCTGGACAGTGTAGGTCTGGTCTGTGTTTTTTGTTTTTGTTTGTTTGTTTGAGGCGGAATCTCGCTCTGTTACCCAGGCTGGAGTGCAGCGGTGCCATCTCAGCTCACTGCAACCTCCGCCTCTCGGGTTCAAGTGATTCTCCTGCCTCAGCTTCCTGAGTGGCTGGGATCACAGGTCTGCAACACTATGCCCGGCTAATTCTTGAATTTTTAATAGAGATGGGGTTTCACTATGTTGGTCAGGCTGGTCTCAAACTCCTGACCTCAAGTGATCCACCTGCCTCGGCCTCCCAAAGTGCTGGGATTACAGGAATGAGCCACCGTGTCTGGCCTGGTCTGTGTTTTATATTGACTTCACAATTGAAGTGCATTTAGAGAACCCAGCCCTCACTGACCACCTCAGGTTCTAAGATCCCCACAGGTAGTGTCAACATTCACATCACCTGTCTGACCAAAGTCAGCAACTGAACGAGGAATGAATCACCTCAGCAAGTTGGCTTTTCTGCTCTGCTGGAGCACTCCATGTGGCAGCAGCGACCCCCCCAGAGTATGGCCTCTAAAAGGATTTTTCCCACAGAAAACAAAAACAGAAACAAAACCAAAAGGGGGAAGGGTACAATAAAATAATCTGTTTGGTAATTTAGAACTTTTTAAAAACTAGTTCAACTTATCTTTAAATTAACACTGAATATAAAGTATGATTAAGTAAATAAAAATGTCTAAACATTTCTTTCCAATGCCATATATTTTTGTTTTTTAAAATAAGATGAAGTCTCACTGGGTTGCTCAGGTTGGAATGCAGTGGCACAATCTTGGCTCGCCGTAACCTCTACCTCCCAGGTTCAGGCGATTCTTGTGCCTCAGTCTCCTGATACCTGGATTACAGACATGTGCCACCACACCTGTTAATTTTTTTTGTATTTTTAGTAGAGACGGAGTTTCACCATGTTGGCCCAGCTTGTCTTGAACTCCTGCCCACCTCAGCCTTCTAAAGTGTTGGGATTACAGGCCAACCACAGCCAGCCTAATGTCATTTATTTTCAACGAAGGCTGAAAAGGGGCATGAGTGGAAAAAGAAAGCAGGGAGACAGCAGACGACAGCCAGTGAGGAGGGCAGAGGCTGGGGTGGAAGGAGCAGCACAATAGCCAGAGACGGGAGAGACGCCTGCTGCTGGAACCAAGAGCAAGGCAAGGAAAGGGCCTGGAGAGCAGGAGGGGTGCTGCAGACTCAAGGGAGCTAGAGGCCGGGGGAGGCTGGGTGGAAGGTAACCTCTTGCGAAGGTAACTTAGCAGTTACCAACCAAGATTTCAAGGAGAGGCCACTGACCATGTATAGTTGTCTTGTAAATTACTGTTCCATTTTCTGAACCTTCTGCTAATGATATATGTTTCTTATCAGTTTATATGAGATAGCATAATAAAAATGATTCTGGTTGAGAAAGAGCATTGAACTGGGAGGCGAGTTCAGTGTTATTTCTCCAGCCCAGACTTGTACAACTTTGTGAATTACAAGCCAGCTCCTCTCCTACCCTCACATTAAGGAAGTGGTGCTTTTCATTAATTTAGGTAAAATCTGCAGCTCTTAAACATTCAGTTTGAAACAGTTTCCACAACAATATACACAGTGGAGCCGCCCCGCCAAAGCAAAATGAAGAACATTTCCATCACCTCAGAACAGTCCCCTCAGACCCTCTTCCAATCATTCTCCCCCACCTCAGCACAGATTCTGCACCACTACCCCTGGCACCACCCCTTTTGGCTGCAGAAAAAGTGGCCAGACATCTTATCTCAGAGGCTGGTCTGGATAACATCAATTTCTAGGCTAGTGATTTCTCAGCCCTGGGTATAGAAGAGGGCAGAGTGGCCACCACATTTACCAATTTAATACTTAAAGGTATGCACATTTTATACATTTAAATGTATAAATATTTTTATTTTATTTTATTTTTGAGATGGAGTTTTGCTCCTGTTACCCAGGCTGGAGTGCAATGGCACTATCTCAGCTCACCGCAACCTCCACCTACTGGGTTCAGGCAATTCTCCTGCCTCACCCTCCTGAGTAGCTAGGATTACAGGCACGCGCCACCACGCCCAGCTAATTTTTTGTATTTTTAGTAGAGACGGGGTTTCACCATGTTGACCAGGATGGTCTTGATCTCTTGACCTTGTGATCCACCCGCCTCGGCCTCCCAAAGTGCTGGGATTACAGGCTTGAGCCACTGTGCCCGGCCTAAATGTATAAATATTTTATAAATGCTAATGGGTACTGGATCTCTTAAATAATCATCATTGCTCTATGAAGATTAGGACTATAGTCCCACCCACCTATTGGGAATAGACAGAACACCACGATGCATCTGAACAGTCTAAGCAACGATCTCCTGCCAGGGGTTTTCCTTCTCACTCACCTGGCTGTTTGGATCTCCAAGTAAGTTGCATATATGTGGCACAATCTTGCTTAGTGTTAAACTCTGTGCTCCAGAGCTGAAAACAAAAGGAGTGCCTTTTTGTTAGTGAGAACCGAGAAAAGAAAAATGCCTGTCTGCCCACACCTGCCCTCCCTGTGTCCCCAACCCCCATCACCACCTCACACCAAGTCTCTCTCCATCCCGTCCACGCTGGCTCCAAAGTAAATGTATCTGACGGCCCCTTTGCACAGAGTTCAAAGCCTCGAGTGGCTTCTCCCAGATGAGACATCCTCCAGTCTCCCAAGGGCTGTGGCCAAACAGGCCCTACCCCTTTAAGGCTGGGCCAGAGCTCTGGCCCGGCCCCAGGCTGCTTGCCTCACAGGTGCTGCCTCTGCATTACTGTCTGTCACTGTAAGGCAACTACAAGTCACTTGAAGGACCTTGCTTAATTATTTCTCTAGTGTGCTGTGGCAGAGCTCTCTGCTACAGTAGACATTAAGGCAACACTGCTGGATAAAAAGACAGCAATCAAACCAGAGCATCTGCCCTACTGGGACACATTTGAGTTACAATTTTCACCATCACCATCACCATCACTGCCATGACAAATAGCCTTTGTGAATACAAATCTCTTGGTTAATCTGCCTACTACCTTAGCATAAATTCCTAGAACGGGAGCTACTATGATCAAAGGCCAGAACATTTCTTTTAAAGCTTCAACTACACGTGGCCAAATTTAATGGCACTGAAAAGGTTAACTATATAAAGATGGAAAAAATTTACAAAGTAATATAAACATTAATGTCAATTTTGTTTTTAAAAAAACATAACTCATTATTTTCATAATCAGAAAAAAAGGCTTGAAATTTGTAATTTTAAAAAAGCCTCGTACAAATAAGCACATGAAAAAAATGTCAACAGTCATTAGATAAAAACAACTTAAAACCACAATGAGGTATTACCACACACATATAAAAATGGCTAAAATTAAAAAGTGACAACATCCAATGGCCAGCAAGGGTATGAAGAAACCAGATCATTCAGACATCGCTGGTGGGAAAGTAAAATGGTACGGACAACTCCGGGAGAAAAATTGGCAGTTTCTTGTAAACTAAAAATGAATTTACCAAATGACCCAGCAAGTGTACTCTTGGGCACTGATCCAAGAGACATGGAAACTTATGTTCATGTAGAAACTTGTACATGCATGTTCACATCAGCTTTATTCATGAAAGCCAAAACTGCAAATTACCCAAATGTTCTTCAACAGGTGAATAGTTTAGCCAACTGTGTGATACATCTATACCAAGGAATTCTATTTAGCAATAAAATGAACTATCAGTCAATGATATGGGCAACCTCAAGGGTATTATGCTGAGTGAAAAAAAGATAAACAAAAGGTTACATACTGTATAATTCCATTTACATAACATTCTTGAAATGACAAAATCATAGGGAGGGAGAACAGATGCATGGCTGCCAGGGGTCAGGGTGTGGCTACACACGGCAGCATGAGGAAGGGGTGCAGTTGTAAATACACACAAATATGCATGTGTTTACCTGAGAAATTTCCACAAGCTCTGGGGATTGTATCAATTTCAACTTCCTAGTACTGATGCTGTACTACAGTTATTCAAGATGCTAACACTGGACAAGAGGGGGTGAGGGGGCATGAGACCTCACACTACATTTCTTTGCAACTTCCTGCAAATCTATATTTCAAAATAAAAAGTTTTAAAAATTTCAGCCAGGTAAAAATGTCAGGCTCATCCCAGACTTACGCATTGAGTGTTGCTATAAGGCAGAGACAGATGCCTTCTCGAGTACGGAAATTCTTGTGTTTGAAGCCTCCAAGCATTCTGTCCCATACGTACTGCAGATGACAAAGAACAGGTGAGGAAAAGAGAAGATTGCTGCAGCTGTCACTTAGTAAGGGAGCAATGGAAGGGAGCCTCTTAATGAGTGCCAAGTTAGTCCTATCCTCTACCAACACATTTAATACTTTCAAGAGCATACTGGAAAATGATGGCATCTATCATGTTATTAAGTATTACAATTTTTAAAACACATTCATTTACATAATGGCATTTAATTCTCCCAAGAACTCTGAAAGGGAGGTATAACTGTCCTCATTCTATGGGTGAGGAAAGCAAGGCCAAAAGAGCCAATGAATTGCTGAAGATCACACACTCGCACTGCCTCTGCTTTTTCTGATCACCCCCCTCAATAATGGACAGTGGAACCTGGGAAGGCAGGGCTGTTTCGGTCCATCCCAACAGCCCCAACTCACTAGAAGACAAGGGCCAGGGCTCCAGTCAGGCCTGCTGACTCCCCAGACACTACAGCTTCCTCTTTTCAGAGAAATGGAGAATCAGTTACATAAATGAGCTGAAAAGTCTAACAGGTTAAAACCAAGTATTTTAAATTCACTAATTTATTCAATACCCCCATGTTAAATCCACTAATTTTTTCATCTTATACTTTTGTGACTTATTTAAATATCTTGCATGGGGAACAGATTGAATACTGTGAAAATTTTTAACTGTAATACAGCAGCTTAAGTCTATGGAGTCGCACCATTTGTGCAAGTACACACACACCACTGTGCGTGCACATGCACACACAGGCCCGCTGACCTCAAAACACGTCTCTTGCCCTACCTGGGGATTAGCAGCTTGATCCATGATCTTTAGCAGCAGAGTTTGGTCCTGCTCCCTCACAGAGTCTTTAGCATCTCCTAGTCTGTCTATTAGACTTGGCAGCACTGAAAATCAGAAGGGAAACTGGTCAAATGAAACCCTATTTGGGGGTCTGTGGTTACCAAGTATTGCTATTTCAATTATGTGGGAAGATAAACCCGATCTAAGTGATGTGTCTCATTCTAAAACCACTCATCTTTGCTCACAGCTCTATTCTTGCTGAAATCCATGAAAGTCAGCAAAGACGTCTGCAAAATCTTTTGCATGGACAGATATACTATTTGTCTTCATCCTTACCCCACCCTCCTCCAGCCAGTTCCCAATGTATTTGTAAGCTGATAAAAATGGAAGACCTTGGCAGGACGAGTCAACAGAAAGGAAAATTTAGGTAAAAGTCAAGGAGAGGGGCTCTAGCATATGTGTTTGGGGGTGGAAGGGGTAGGCACTTATGGATAAATCTTACATTTCATTGACATTGTGTGTTTTTAGTTTTACATCACACCCAAACACACATGAGACAGAGCCCAGCTTTCCATCTTCACCCACATACCCAAATGTGGACCCTCCCACCAGTGCTCCAAGAACACCTGTAGACCAGAGGTCAGCTTATTTTAACAGTCTGTAAATCTCTATTACAAGAGATATCTTTGAATAGTTCAGCTAATTTAGGAGGAAAATGGAACACTATTAAAATATCAAATTTCTAAAAGGAATGGTTTATTTGTAAACAGACACTAGGTGCTAGAATGGGAAAACGGTTCACCACCTTTTCAGAAGGAGCATATTGATAAGAAAGTTAACAGAAAAGAACAAAGACATGTGTGCCAATGAAAACAGAGAGATTCCATAAGGAAATGGTTGCATAGAGCTGCTTAGTGTTTATACTGCCCCCGTAAAACACCGGAGGTCAAAAATTTCGAGGCATTTAAATCTATGAAATCTGTGGGTTTTGTTCCATTTGGCTGACATATTCTTTTCCCTCAAAATAAGAGTGAACATTTACTACATACTTGTAATGACATTTACAATCAAGGTGAAAATGGTAATGCCAAACATAATCATCTGGGGAAAAATACAGCTGGCTCCGTTTTATAGCACTTCTCAAAGAAAACTGCCTCTCATTAAAGGGCACTAGGGGTGAGGGACAAATAAGACTTGGTTGGCGCCAAAGAGTGACGGCTAATTTAGCATAAGAAATAAAAAAGGCACTAATACGAGTTCCATATGAGAAAACAAAGAAGCCAGCACAAAGATATGGGGGAGGGTAATGGCAGGCCCAGAGGCCAGAGGAGCCCAGCAGGGAGGGAAGGCAGCGGTGCAGCCGCCCGGGGCTGCGGGAAGGAAGGCAGCGATGCAGCTTGGGCTGTGGGGCGAAGACTGGCTGTTTGGAAGGAGCAGAAGGGAGACCAAGGGGGCTGAATGGGGAGGCAGGGTGGCTGGGGTCTGAAGGGGCCGGGGTCGGGGCCGCTCCACTAGTGCCGCAGCTCACCTGTGCCGATCTGCGCCTTGAACCGATCCTGCAGCCGGGTCACGAGGGCGGACAGGATGTCCATGCCCAGCAGAACCACCTGCAACGGGAAACACCCGGAGCCAGTTAGCGGCCGGCCAGCGGGGCAGAGCTCCCGCCCACCCGCTTCGGGGACACCCAGACATTTCTGGCCCAAACGCATTCAGAGAGAGTCCAGAGCTTGCATGCCGACTGGGGGAACTAAACTGATTAGCACGAGGAAGGACGATTTTCCACAAAAAGAGCTGTGTACAGCTATAATGGAAACTGCTCCGTGAGGAGAAAGACGAAATAAAAGGCTATACACAGCGTAGCCAAAGCCGGGTTAGCAGCCTTGCAGACTTTAAGAGCGCGCCGCGGTCCCGCCCCTCCAGTTCCGCCCCGACGAGAGGAGCGTATGCAAATTTTCGAGCGGCAGACGCTCGGTCTTATGGGTAAAACCCGGCCGCGATTTTTGCGACCCTTCGTGAGCCTCAGAAAACAAAGAATTGTGGTGTCGTCAAAAGCTGTGCAGGCTGCAGGTAAGGTAGCAACCAGGCCGACTAGGGCGGGACTCACGAATTAATTACCACAACCCTACCAGGTTTTGGCGCTTCCGGCTTGCAGCGCACGAAACATCTACGGCAACCATCCTTTTCTTGGGGTTGCGCTACTGTCCAATGAACGTATAGTGAGGGCAGTACTGCTAACGCCTAAACAACACACTCGCATCAACTGAAGCTCTGCTTTACGTTGGTGCAATTTTTGGAAAACAACGAAAACCCTTTAATAACAGCAGATTACAAAAAGTAAGTTTTGCGTTTCATTATTGCAGTAGATAGCATACAAGGTGATTATGTTTTCGCGAAAACCTCCAATTTTCCTCAGAGAATGTCAGTATTACCCAATGCAAATGTCTTGTCACTTCTTTTCGTGGTTAATTAGCTCTGTACCCTAAATTGAGTTTCAGTCAGCGTTTGCACTTCCACATAAGATGTCATCAGCATTTTGGGAGTCTGAGGTGCACAGATCTCCACTGTGAGACTTGATTTAACATGCTTCCAAACACAACGTCCGGCACTGCCCAATGTTCATATATGGCCTAGCCCTGCGTCTGGCAGCTGACAAGAGCAAAAACTGCTGGCTTTTCTACTCAGCTTTGAAATCTACTGCTTCAAAATTGAAGGAATCCAAATTGGCCCAATAATTCCCACAATATGTAAAATGTTCTTGAAAGAAACAGGCTACCTGACAATTTTTAAGAAAATAATTTTTAATACTTTTATAAAAAGAACAATTTGTAAACAGATTTTTCTTTTAATAATATAATAATGGTATAAACACTTTAAAATAATGACTCTATTTTCAAGCTAAAAAGAATTAGGTTTCAAACTATGACTTTCTTCCAAACAGTACAGTATGAAGTGGGGCGAGTAACTACAGCCAGCAGAGACGGTGGAGGTCACCATCAAGTACACTTGATATGGTGTTATGAAAACGGCATTTTGCCTCTGTGATAGTCCTAAGCCCAGTCTAAGCATGAAGAAAACAGACACATTTCAAGAGAGGGGCATCCTATAAAACACCTGACCAGTACTCCTCAAAACTATCAAGATCTCAAAAGCAAGAACTCTGAGAAACTCACGACAACAGGAGCCAAGGGAAACATAACAATTCAATGTAATGAGGTGTCCTGGAACAGAGTCTAAACCAGAAAAAATGATATTTTTCCTTAGGTAGAAACTAAGGAAATATTAATAAAGCATGAACTTTAGTAATAATATATCAATACTGGATCATTAGTTGTAATAAACCACACTGTTAGATATAATAATGAGACTGTATTATCTTTGCAATTTTTCTGTAAAAAAAAAAAATTGTTGATTTTTTTAAAAAGAACACCCCTGCTGGGCACGGTACGTTGGCAGGCCAAGGCAGGCAGATTACGAGTGAAATCTGGTGAAACCCTGTCTCTACTAAAAATACAAAAATTAGCTGGGCATGGTGACGAAAGCCTGTAATCCCAGCTACTCAGGAGGCAGGAGAATCACTTGAACCAGGGAGTCGGAGGTTGCAGTGAGCCAAGATTGTGCCACTGCACTTCAGCCTGTCGACAGAGCGAGACTTCATCTCAAAAAAAAAAAAAGCCAGCACTTAAGTGAGTCAAATAGCTTTTGTCTGGTGAAATCTTAAGCATCTGTACAGTTGCTTTACTGGTTACAGGTAGGGGCGTTATTCATTACAGAAGCATCCCTTTCATACATGTCCAAGGCTAAGGTAAAGAGGACTATAGTTTATTAGCATGAAAACTGACTTCAGCTTTTCCAGGATGGCAGTTTACTTGGTAGGTCTGAGCAGAGAAGGCTTCATTAAGTCCCGGACAGTCAGGTTTCCATGCCTTGCCTAGATGGTCTGGGAAGTGTGGAAACTCCCAAAGGAGACTGAGTGGGCAGATGCACCTCAGCCCCAAAGAAATAAGACAGGAAAGGTCAAGGGCGCCAGCCAGGATGACAGAAGGCAGTTCCAGCACTGACAGCTCGGACCCTTCTCCTGGGCTTCCATTTCCCTACTCAAGAAAGGATACATGAAAAAGTCCTTGCCCAGAAGATCACTCTAATAATGAGCTGTAAAGACCTCTTTGTGCCGAAATCTCAACTGTAAAACAGGGACAATGATAACAGCTACCTCATGGTTGTTATGAGGATTAACTAAAGTGTGAATATAAGATGCTTAAAACTGCCTGGCACATGGGGTCACTTTTTTCCCGTTTCTGCTTTCTTCAGCCCTTAGGTCTACAAAACCAACTTCTTCTGCATGGCTTATTGGAACACACAATTCTGTTTTATGGAATGAAATGTTGCCTAATTCTAAAATCACAAATAAAAGCCAATCAAAATCTTTAAACTAAATTTGTTGTTTTTTTTTTCTTCCAACACCACTAACTGCATGACCCCTGAACACCGCCTCTGACCTTTTACTAATTATCTACATTCGTGCTTGTTTCCCCAGCTAAATTCCTTGAATGTAAGGAATACTACCATCTTGCATTTCCTCGGAATTCCCATAATAATAGCACGACACTGGATACAAAGTAGGTGATCGATAAACCTTATTTTATTGACGTAAATGAGGCTGGAACAGATGAGTTCTCAAGATCCAACACAGTTTCATTATCCTAAAAACCTCTAAAAGACCCTTTTGTAAAAGAGACAAGAGGGCTGACCAGGTCACTGGGACCAACACTCCTGCTGAGCACAACTAACAATGCTGGATATAAAAGAACATCTGCTTGAAAGCATCAGAGAACTAAGAAGGCACAGGACTTCCAAGTCAAGAAACACAGACAACTAAAATTCACAGAGATGAGCCTACAGCAACTGGTCCACTTTGCCCTGGGGCCATTTAAACACTGGGAAAGGGCACAAAGAATCACTTTTAATAATCTCTTGGGTCATCTAGGAGGGCAAAGGTTAGATTCCAAAGCCCTCCAAAGTTGGTGGCCTAGTTATCTCCCTACCACTTGGGCTGGAAACCCAAATGGCTAGACTTTAGGAAGAGTGTGAGTTGGAAACAAAACAGCTTTCACACGGACTACAGCCCACTTTCCAAGCATCTGGGTAGTCCAGAAAAATCCTAATCCCTGACATCAGATTAAAGTGAGTTTAGACTGTCTGTGCCCAAAAGCCCTGAGCAGATAAAAACACAAGTCATTTCTGGATTTAGAAACATCATCCTAGTCTAGTCCTCAATTTATTCCTGTAGTAATTTTTCTTTTGTTGTTTTTTTGTTTGTTTTTTGACACGGAGTCTCGCTCTGTCGCCCAGGTTGGGAGTGCAATGGTACGATCTCTGCTCACTGCAACCTTCGCCTCCCGGGTTCAAGAAATTCTTATGCCTCAGCCTCCAGAGTAGCTGGGATGTGTGATTAGCCCAGCTAAGTTTTGTACTTTTAGTAGATACAGGGTTTGCCACATTGGCCAGATTGGTCTCGAACTCCTGGCCTCGAGCTATCTGCCCACCTCGGCTCCCAAAGTGCTGGGATTACAAGCATGAGCCACTGCACCCTGCCTATTCCTGTAACAATTTTTCAGAGAGAACATCTGAAACACAACCAAAGATAACCAGGCACACAGGACAAAATAAATGAAAAGTAGCAGAAACAAAGACCAACCTGAATTCTGGATCCTTGGATAGGAGAATAATTAAAAACAGACTTTAAAATAACAAGTCAGACCAGGCGTGATGTCTCAGCCTAGCACTTTGGGAGGCTGAGGCGGGCAGATCACCTGAGTTTAGGAGTTCGAGACTAGCCTGGGCAACATGACGAAATTCCATCTCTACAAAAGAATTTTAAAATTAGCTGGGTGTGGTGGCCTACCTGTGGTCCCAGCTGCTCTGCACAGGAGGCTGAGGTGGGAGGATCCCTTCAGCCTGGGAGGCAGAGGTTGCAGGGAGTGGAGATCACGTCCCTGCACTCCAGCCTGGGCGAGAGAGAGAGACACCCCATCTCGATAAATTAATTAAATTAAATAAGTCTTATTATGTCTATGAAGAAAAATCACATGATTAAAGTTTTGGGTAGAGAAATGAAATTTTTTTTTTGAGATGGAGTCTTGCTCTTTCATCAGGTTGGATGGAGTGCAGTGGCACAATCTCAGCTCACCGCAACCTCCATCTCCCAGATTCAAGCAATTCCCCTGCCTCAGCCTCCTGAGTAGCTGGGACTACAGGCGTGCACCACCACGCCCGGCTAATTTTTTGTATTTTAGTAGAGACGGGGTTTCACCATGGCCAGCATGTCTCAATATCCTGACCTCATGATCCGCCCGCCTCCGCCTCCCAAAGTGCTAGGATTACAGGCCTGAGCCACCGTGCCCAGCCGAGAAATGACAACTTTTAAAGTTACAGAGATTAAACAAATAATACAAGAGGAAAAAATTAAATACTCAATGAATGGGCTTTTTTTCTAAGTGCACTGTAAATACATGAAGAGAACTAAACAGGAAACTAAGTCTGCAGAAAAAATCCAGAATAAAGAGAGGCAAAAACATGGAAAATTCAAAAGGGTAGGTAAGAGGATAGA